TTAACCAGAGAAACACGGCCCCCATCCTCAACACACCCCCCACCAGACCTATGAGTCAGTTCCAAAAGAATCCCAATATCAAACGCATTTCCCCTGCAGAGATGCAACTCAGACGGGACAAAGGACTTTGTTATTGGTGTGATGACAAATTTTCATTTACTCATAAATGCCCTAACAGACAACTTATGCTATTACATTATGATGACACTGAGGATGATCAACTCAGTGGGGATATCCTGAATCCATCTGATTTCAGCACAGACAGCATTCCCACCGTCGAGCCGGAGCATCATTTGTCATTAAATGCAATGAAAGGAGATTCTAATATGGGTGTGCTAAGATTTTCTGGGTTAATTGAGAACATTAAAGTGCAAGTATTGATTGATGGTGGTAGTTCCGACAATTTTTTGCAGCCAAGAATAGCTAAATTTCTGAAACTGCCCATAGAACCCGGTCCAGCGTTCAGAGTTCTGGTTGGCAATGGGGAAATTATGAATGCAGAAGGGGTCATTTCAGACTTGTCAGTTAAGATACAGGGTCATGAACTGAAGGTTCCTGTGTTTTTGTTACCAGTGGCTGGGGCAGATATGATTTTGGGTGCATCGTGGCTAGCAACTCTAGGACCGCATGTGGCTGATTATGCTTCACTCACACTGAAATTCTTTCTAAATGGGAAGTTTGTCACGCTGGAAGGAGAGAAAGTTCCCAGACCTGCAATTGCTCAACTCAACCATTTGAAGAGGCTGCAGAACACTGGCGCTATAGCAGAATGTTTCACCATTCAATGGCTCAAATCAAATGTTGTTGAGGACATGTTCAAGGAGCTACCTACTGATACCAAACCCGAGATTTATATGTTACTGCATACATACAAAGCGGTGTTTAACACACCCGTTGCGTTGCCACCGGATAGGTCACATAACCATCATATTCCATTAATGGAGGGTTCTAATCCTGTCAAAGTTAAACCATATCGATACCCTCATAGCCAAAAGACACAAATTGAACAAATGATCCATGAAATGCTGCATCAAGGTATCATACAACCAAGTACGAGCCCATTTTCTTCACCAATCATATTGGTGAAAAAGAAAGATGGTACATGGAGGTTATGCACGGATTACAGGGCATTAAATACTATCACTGTCAAGGATTCCTTTCCCATTCCTACAGTAGACGAGCTATTGGATGAGTTATTCGGAGCTAAATATTTTTCAAAATTGGATCTCAGGTCTGGCTATCATCAAATATTGGTCCAACCCGAAGACAGGTATAAAACAGCTTTTCGAACACACCAAGGACATTATGAATGGCTGGTCATGCCATTCGGACTGACCAACGCTCCAGCTACGTTTCAAAGCTTAATGAATCATATTTTTCAACATGCTTTGCGAAAATATGTTTTGGTTTTCTTTGATGATATTCTCATATACAGCCCTACTTGGCAAGCACATCTGGACCATTTAGATGCAGTTCTAAAAATACTTCAAGACAATGTTTTGTTTGTCAAGTTATCTAAGTGTTCATTTGGAGTTTCAGAAATTGAGTACTTGGGACATAGAGTTACAGGTCAAGGAGTTGCCATGGACAAAGATAAAATCCAAGCTGTACAGGATTGGCCTGTACCTAAGAACGTGAAGCAATTGAGGGGTTTTCTAGGTCTCACGGGTTACTATAGGAGATTTATAAAATCATATGCAAGAGTGGCTGCACCATTGACTGAATTACTTAAGAAGGAGAGTTTTGTGTGGAATGACCAAGCTGAGATGGCATTTCACCAGTTAAAACTTGCAATGATTTCTGGTCCAGTTTTGGCTTTGCCGAATTTCAATAAACCTTTCATTTTGGAAACAGATGCCTCAGGGGTCGGAGTTGGTGCAGTGCTGCACCAAGATGGTCACCCCATTGCTTATTTCTCCAAGAAACTAGTTCCTCGCAATCAAAAGAAATCGGCTTATTTTCGAGAGATGCTTGCCATATCTGAAGCTATAGCCAAATTCAGACATTATTTAATGGGTCATAGGTTCATTATTCGAACCGATCAAAAGAGTTTGCGGAGTTTAATGGACCAAACCCTCCAGACACCCGAGCAGCAGCAATGGTTACATAAGTTTTTGGGTTACGATTTTGTTATAGAATACAAGCCGGGCAAAGAGAATCTGGCAGCTGATGCTTTATCGCGGTTAATGACTTTGTCATGGTCAGAGCCTGAGTGTCAATTCATTCAACAAGTAAAGGAAGTGTTGAAAAGTGATAACCACTGGCGTGACATCATACAAAAGTGTATTAGCCAAGGTAATTCATATCTCCAATATACTTTCAGAGATGGACTGTTATATTGGAAGCAACAAATTGTGATTCCTCAACACACTGAATTGGTACAGCAAGTCTTATATGAATTACATACATCCCCACTGGGTGGTCATGCGGGTTTTACTAGAACTATGGCTAGAATAAAGTCCCAATTCTACTGGCCGAATATGAAGAAGGATATCTATCACTATGTGCAAAGTTGTGGTGTGTGCCAACAAGCTAAAACTGCTAACACAGTACCGGCGGGGTTATTACAACCACTTCCAATACCATCACAAGTATGGGAAGATGTGGCTATGGATTTTATCACAGGACTTCCTTTATCCTTTGGGTTCACTACTATTTTAGTGGTCATAGATAGATTATCAAAGTATGCTCATTTCTTTCCTATGAAAACTGATTACTCTAGTAAGTCAGTGGCTGAAATTTTTATGCACAATATTGTCAAATTACATGGAATGCCCAAATCCATTGTGTCTGATAGGGATAAAGTGTTTACAAGTTCCTTTTGGCAACATTTGTTCAAGCTACAAGGTACAAGTTTGGCAATGTCGTCGGCGTATCATCCCCAATCTGATGGGCAGTCTGAGGCGCTTAATAAGGCAGTAGAGCTATTTCTTAGGTGTTTCACCTTTCACAACCCCAAGTCATGGTACAAGGCATTATCATGGGCTGAATTCTGGTACAACACAGCCTTACAGACCAGCATTGGCATGACACCCTTCAAGGCTCTTTACGGGAGAGATCCGCCGGCTTTATTAAGGTATGAACCTCAAGCTACTGACCCTCCAGCACTCCAAGAGCAACTGATGGAGAGAGACAGAATTTTACAGCAGTTGAAAGCAAATTTAGAAAAGGCTCAGCAGTACATGAAGAAACAAGCGGACAAGCATAGAATGGATGTGACCTTTCAGGTGGGAGAGCTAGTGTTGGTAAAGCTCCAACCTTATCGGCAACAGTCAGTGGCCTTGAGGAAGAATCAAAAGTTAGGCATGCGCTATTTTGGACCCTTTGAGATCATAGCTCGTGTGGGTTCGGTAGCTTACAAACTCAAACTTCCATATCATGCTAAAATACACCCTGTTTTCCATGTGTCTCAGCTTAAACCATTCAAGGGAACTTTCCAAGAGCAATACTTGCCGTTACCTTTGACTATGTCAGACAAAGGACCAATTATAACTCCTATTGAAGTGTTGCAGGCTAGAACTGTTATCAAAGGCAACCAAACAATTCACCAAGTTTTAATTCAATGGGATCAGCATGATGTTGCAGATGCTTCTTGGGAAGAAATAACTGACTTGCAACAGAAGTTTCCCTCTTTCAACCTTGAGGACAAGGTTGCTTTTAATGGGGATGGTATTGTAATGAAGCCAAAAGAGAAAGAGATTCTAGAAGCAGAATATGAGTCAGCAAAACAGAGGGAGGGCCCACAAAATACACACGGAAAGGAAGTGGCTAACAATAACGCGGAAATATCGGACATACGCACAGGAGCAAGGCCACGCAAACCGCACAGCATGTGGAGGGACTACGTGAAGGAATGAGTCAGTACTTATACTGCAGTAGTGAGAAATTGTAGGCTATGTGATGAGTAAAGTTGTTATTCTTCTCCCTCAAAACTTTCTTTTTCACATCTGGATTTTTATTGTATGCCTACTGTTTGATTAAAGTCCTATAATATTATCCTCACTTTTCTTTCCATCTTTTCTACAATATTTAGTACTGTTCCATATTAATGATCGTTTGATTAAGATATGATGGTTTAGTAAAATACCTATTTTAATTTTTGTTTTTAATTTAAAACATCAAACTTCAATTTAAACCCTTCAATTTTGATCAAACGGTCACCAATTCTCTGAATGCGTGAATGTGTACTAAATGCGATGCTAGGAAAACTATGGTCCTATTTCAAATTGCAATTTTCCAAATGACTGATGTGACTCTGATTGGAATAGTGAGAGCATAAAAGTTCTTTGACTTGTGTGAATGGACTTTAGTGGAGTAGCATCTCAATATTTTTGTTGGCCAATTTGAATTGAAAAAGTATAATAATTTTATAAAATCATCTTTATTAATTGTTAATCACATGTTTTGCAATAGGATTAGCTTTGAGATAGAATTAGAATAAAATAATAGATATTATAGTATTGAAAATATAAAATGTAACTTATTTTAGAATTTTTTTTATTTGACTAGTTTAGTAGCAAATATTCTTATCTCAATGTGTTCTAGTGGGAACACATCAATTTTAGTGGAGGAAAGCACTACGTGAAAAAATGTCCCCCATTTGGTGTATACAAAGGAGAATAAGAAGCTTTCGATTCAAATATGGATTTAGATTCTCTGATTTTTCATGTCAATTGCAGTTCCCTCCACAAAACCAGTGGATCCTATTTCTTGGAATGGATTCAGATTCAACTTTCCATTCTCTAACATTCTTATCATTTGACTCCTTAATCCTCCAAAAAACCAACCTTATAAATCCATACTAGTGAGAAAACAAATATTATTTACATAATAAACACCTATTATGTATTGCTAAACATGCTATCTAACAAAGACAAGACCTTATTTGATGCATTGTTGTGAAATACCATTATTGTTATGGTTTCAATCATCTCATACAACATCTTTCTTTAGCTTATAATTGCAAGACTTTCTCATGTACAATAACAGTGTGTATTTTATCACAAAAATTTAGAAGAAATGAAATCTGCAATTGCCAAGCTTGATGTTAAACCAGGTGACTCAATTCCAAAAAGATTAACAAGTCCAGGTATCCCATGAATGTCCTCTCCCTGTATAACAAAATCAACAGGTGACTGACAGGGTCCTGAAAGTTTAGGTCGGATCCCCGAATATCCTGGTTCCAAAGATCCATCCTTTAGATTTGGATAGTATTTTCTTATCTCTGGATAAAACTTCTCGGCGCGGTTTGCATGCACTGAGTAGTCGAACCTATGATCAATGGTTACATAAGTTAGTGATCCAAACCGATGATTCAATGGTTACTTAAAAAGTTGAGATACTAAAGGAATTCAAAAGCATGCAGATAAAAGGTTATCAGAAAGTACTTATTTTGAAAGCTTGAGATATCATCAACACCATCGATCCATTCGACATCCGGACCAAATTTGACCTGACCGTTCAAGTCTAAAGTAACATGCACTCCGAGTCCACCGTCCTCCGGTATAGGATATATCAAACGTCTGAAAGGAGCTTTCGTACTCGACAACGTGAAGTAGCAACCACGTGCATAATAGGCAGGAGGAATAACTCGGTTTTGTAGGCCGGTAAATCTTTTTGCAAGGGCAGGGGCACTAAGGCCTGCAGAGTTTACTACAAGTTTAGGAATAAGTAATAATTCTGGTTGCAAAATTGATGTCTCATTCCATTCTTTAAGACTCTTTGTTTCTGATATATGGAGACAAATCTCATTTCCTTCTATATGTCCACCGATGACGGTTGAATTGTATGTGAAGGTTGTACTGTGATTTTCTGCTTCCCCCTGAAGCAATATTGGGTTTATATTCCTGTCAATATGCAATTTTAACTCCACATAATGAAAACGGTAGCATAGTGGAATACAAATAAACCGTTAATTTTTGTGATCCGCGATATAAAGCAGTTATTTTATCCGAACGTGGATATGTTAATCCATCTTTACAACATGGTAAAAGAAGCTAGAAATGCATACCACTAAAGAGAGCATTAAGGAATGAGAATCAACAATCCCAGAGAGAGGTGATAGTATCGCTTTCACGCATTGCAATTCTGGTTCCATTTTCATGGCATCAACACCATTCATCACCTTCAAACCATCAACACCGTTCTGAATACCATGATTTAAGATATCATTTAACTTCGGAATCTCGGATGATCTAGTAGCCACAATAAGCTTACCAGTTTGTTCATGTGGAATATCATGCTTTGAGCAATACTCGTACAACATTTCTCTTCCTTTTACACAAAAAATCGCCTGCAAAAGAAGATTGAATTAAATTCTAAACAAAAAGAGAGGGAAAACCACGGTCATGTTTTGGTTAATGGTCATGTTTTGGTTAATCGCACGGAAAAAACTAAGAAAAGAGAAATACTCAAGAATGTGATAAGATGTAAAAAATACTTGCTACTTTTCACTTTGCAAGCAGAAAGAATATCCCATGGTTTTAAATGATTGTCTGCACACAACCACAGCTACGGTGGTAACGTCGAGGTTTATGATATACTAGTAGAGCCTGCATCGCAACTACTGGTGCATTTGTAACAATTGTAAACGATATCGGTAATTACAAAACATAATTGTCAGGGCCGTCTATGAGGACGTGCAAGGCGGGCTACTGCACAAGGCCTAAAATTTAACACGGTTAAACAATTGCAAATATGTCCTCATAAAATATGACTAACCTACACAGTACCTCCGAAAACTTAAGATGACCCTAATAGCTACATTCACAAGAGAAAGTTTAAACCTTGGAATGTGGTCCTAAACCTAGGTAATTTACATCAACGGTTCACTTCTGAAATCTAAAGCAAACATGGAATATAACCATGCTCGCTACCATAACTTCAATGGATCAAACTACACCAATTGCCCAAATGTTCAATGGGCTGCTCCCCAATTTACAATGACAATGATCGTTATTCACAGTTTTTATAATAAAAAACCGTTTATATAATAAAAAACAAACTGTGGTTAATTCACACCACTATGACTGAAACAGTATCGCAACAATTGTACCGACCGAAATCACAAAAGCTTTTACACGACGGCGACATTTAATTAAAACTTGGCTCAACCCTACAAACACACTCATTCGGGGTTCCAGCTTTTTGGTTAAAACTCACCAACCCAATTCGATTTTCTCATCAACTAACACAATATTAAAATTGAACAACAATCAAATCAAAATCATAAAAATGAGATCTTTCTTTATTGGGATCATCTAAAAATGAAAACTTTAACAACAAAAACACACACCAACCTTCAAAGAATCACGAGGGTAGTAAATTCCAGCATGAACAACTTCACTATTTCGAGAACTAGTTCCAGTCCCAAAACTAGATCCTGATTCAATGACAATCACCTCTCTACCCTTGAGTGCCAGTGCTCTTGCCACTGCTATTCCAACCACACCAGCTCCTATCACTACACAATCCACTTTCTCCCTTGGAACAGAGTACGAGGTTGTTATATCATTTTGTGTGCTGCTGCTAATGTTTCTGACACAATTGACAAACAAGTGATTTCGTTTCATATGAACATCACATCGTACCAATGTTTGAATTGTTTTCTTCAGCATTCTAACTCACTCGGATGCAGATTTTGTTGGTAATTGATTATTGTTTTCGGTTTATTGGGCAATTTTGGTTAATCATGGTTAACCCTTTTAATAAAAAACCCTTAATTTTCCCAATTAGGCTATTTTGATTGATGAAATAGGATGAAGTAGAGCATATTATTTTTGATCTATTTTTTATAATTTGACTTAATAGAACAAATTAATTCATATACATTTCAAATTGAAGAATTAGATAAAATAGGATGAAATACATTATATCATGTTTAGCTCAATTTCATCTTCTTTTTATGAATCCAAACAATATAATATAATATAATATTATTTCATTTCATTACACTATATTCGGTCGCATTTTATCAATTTAAATAAAGATTAAGATTGAATTTAATGTTTAAAAAGAATACATTCCTATTAGTTTTTAAGTCAGATATATTTTTATTAAGTAATATTATAATTTTTATTATAATAAATTAGTCTTTTTATTTTTTACACGTTTATTTTAATAATCTTTTAAATACATGAAAGGACGACTTAGGCAAAAAAGAATATTTCGATGGACTGAAAATTTGAAAGGATGGTCCAGACAAAAAATAGGGATAAAACAAAAGAATTCGCTAAGTCGAAGACTCAAAAAGGTGACTATGGCCAAAAAAAAGTATTCTGAAGGATTGAAAATTCAAAAGGACGGTCCAAACAAAAGTTACGGATTTTCCAAAGGCAAGAGATTGCGGTCCACGAATTCACTCTACAACGAAAATTGAAGATGAGAAGAATCAATCTAGCCACTTTCCTCGGAAGCAAAGTGCTGCAATTGAAGATATAAAAAAGGTAAGAGTCTTGTAATTCAATGGAAATTCAAATAAGTTCCCATTGCCATTTGACCTTTTCTATCTCCTTAATTTCCTCTAATAGGAATTGCATCCTCGTGTATTGTCACCCATTTAAGGGTCAATTTATCATGAATAAAAACTCCTTCATCAAAGTTTTCACTATTATTTTGTTTGTTCTGCTTGTTTGCGAAATGTTGACTATTTTTTTTATAAACACTGCATTAAAACTTTGGGATAATAAAAAGCGCTAAAAAACAGAAAATTGTTTGATTTCGAAATATCTAAGGAAAATTATGTTTCAGGTAACGCACTCGGTGCACAAAACATAAAATCATCCATAGGTCTCCATGGCCTATATCAGCACAGAAGCCTCCGTTTGCGAGTAATGGAGCAAACTTGGGGCACCAAGAGCATCCATATCTATCTCACAATTTCAAAGTCGTCAAGATCCAGGGTATCGGGGAATCAAAATTCCTCATCAGACCAAATCCTATTTCCTTGCAGCTAGAAAAGACCCAAGTTCAATCTTCATTGGTACCTTCAAAAGTCGGTTGTCATCGACAACCCAAAATCCAATTTTCATTGATAAACCAAAATCCAATTGTCATTGATATTAAAAAGTCCAATTTCCATTGGTACACCATACACCAATTGGCATTGGTATTCCAAAATCCAGCTTTGCTTGACCTTTCAATAAAAGGAAACTACGCCTTACTAAACATTATTACCCTAAAAAGTCCAATCATCCATTGACACACCTACAAGCATTGATCGATAATTACATCTCATGCATCATTTCATGCGTAATACATCCACATACATGGAGCATTACGCTACATAATCAAAACATGCATACACAGTATAAGCCAAGATTTGGGACCTTTCATAAAAGCACCAAATCAATCCTCAACAAAGCCAGTCTTAATTCTGAGTGGGTTTTATCCTCATAGGTTTTCTCACAAGTTTTCTCTCTAAGTGGGTTTTATCCTTACAGGTTTTATCCTCGAAGGGGTTCCCCGATGAGGTATTTTCCCTAGAGAGTCTATTGGAAATTTTCCCCCAAAAAAGAGGTCTCTCCAGATAACCTCCTTAGAAAATTTTCCCTTGCAGAGTTTTCCCCCTAGTAAGTTTTCTCCCTAGGGAGTCTTTGTTGGAATCATTACCCATTCGAAGATCGTCTTATGCGATACCAGTCAATCCCTGGTGAGTCTCCCCCCAGTAAACCTAAGTTATAGGTTTCCCTGGTGGAACTTCATTTGAGAGCTTTCATTATTAATTCTCAGTGAATCTTTTGTGCAATCCCTTTTGTCGGTTAACCTACCAGTGTAAGCGGCTAAAGTAGTTAATCTTTTTCCTGGAGAGTCTTCTTGTTAATTCTTAGAGAATATCTCGCTATGATTAACCTATCAGCGGCAGCGGACGAAGTAGTTAATTATTTGTTCCTTATGTCGACCAACCTACCAGTATGACCAATTGGAGTAGTTGATCATTTATTTCTTCCCCCTAGAGAGTCTTCCCTATTAATTCTTAGAGAATCTCTCATTTCGATTAACTTATCAGTGTGAGCGACCGAAGTAGTTAATAATTTCTTCCTTGTGTCGATCAACCTATCAACATGAGCGGTTGAAGTAGTTTATCATTTCTTTCTTCCCATGGAGAGTATTCCCTGTTAATTTTAGTAAATCTCTCATTATCTTGTATTGATCAGTAGACCATCAAAAACGGTTGAAGTAGTTGATCATTTTTTGCTTATTCTACCAACGAAAGCGCTTGTAATAATTAATCATTTTGGTTGTCGATCAGCCTGTCAATACAACGAATTGAAGTAGCTGATCATTTATACCCCCATTAGAGTTGCCAATTGTATCTACCGTGAAAATACCGATGCAAACATAATCGCTATCGAATGTTATTTATCCCATCAGGGGAAAGGAAAATATCGAGTAAACCTCAAGTGGGAAAGAATAAGGTCTCACAACAAAGAATAGAGTACAAAAGTCGGTTACGCAAGGGGAAGGTACCAGCACCCCTCACATCTATGGTACTCCACAGGATCCACTCATGTTTTTCTAAATAAAGGGTGTGTTATATATAATACTTACTTACTAAGGGAATGTATGAATGAATTGTTAAAGAAAAAAAAGAAAATTTTTAATTATTGCGCTCGCCTCGGTTTTACAACCTCGTGCCTACGTATCTCGAAAGAATCAGAGCACCATAGTTCTTCTATTTTTTTTTATTTGTTTGGTGTTTTTAGTGAACAATGTTACATTCATATTCTAACTGTTAATGTCTGCCGCTCTACCTTTGGAGACTCACACATTGTTCTATGGTGCGGAATGAAAATAACATGTTCTTTTATGAAAATATTTTCAAAAGAAAATCCTGAAGGCAAAAGAGGTTTGAATTGATTGTGTGTTTTGTTGGGATCATAGCAAATGGATCCCAATGGAGGAACACTTAATACTTTTCCACTTATTTGTGAAAGGATTTATGATTTGAATCATACTAAAGACTATGGACGAAAGAAAGAACAAGGTTCAGAATGTACCGCCTAATTCTTTTCCCACCACTTAAGGCTCCTGCCATATGATCTGTATCTTACTCCATTAAGTTTTTTGAGTTTGAAGAAGAAAAAATAAGTTTCTGTTTTAGATGCAAATGCAAAGAAGAAAACAAAAGGACTAAGGGAAGATGAGCCTAATGTTGTCATGAAATGGTGTTCCTAAAGTTAGGGTATCAAAAGGGGAATTCTACTTAATTTTATCATGCTTGGTTTGGAACCTAAAGTTTATTTTAACTCACCTCAATCAAGGATCAAAATTGAATAAAAAAGTCCTAAGGGAGCATGTGACCACAAGCAATCAACAAATAAAATAAGAAGAATGGTGTCGTGATCTCAACTAGGATACAAGCCTGAGTGTCTATTCGTTCACAATAAAACAAACAAGAGAATGATGTCGTGATCTCAGCTAGGGTGCAAGACTGAGTGACTTTTCGTTCATAATAAAGCAAATAAAATAATAATGCCGTGATCTCAGCTAGGGTGCAATACTGAGTGACTCCTTGTTCACCACAAATATATGACAAAGGTTGTAGCAAACAAAACCAAGGTATCACTTGGAAAAGTTAACACAAGCCAAACATACAACTATGAATGAAGATTCATCAACCAACAACAAGTTGCAAGCAAACAAAGCTAAACCTTAAGCATGCTTCAAGTACTAAACAAGACAAACAAGGGATGTGTCAAAGTTAACACTCATACACACATACAAGTCCCTAATGGTCATGCTTACAAGGTTTTAGCCCTAAGGTTTTGGAATCTAAGCAAAAGCAAACAACAAGTGCACAAGCATTCATGAGTATAGGTATCAATCAAACATCACCAATTAGCATACAAAGATAATTTTAATCATGAAAGATAAAGACCAAGATAAGTTATCAAACTACATCACAAAGTGTTTAATCAAACACATCTCAAAGATTGAGAAAGAATCATAAAGGATCAATCAAGCCTTAGGCCAACAACCAAACAATTATCAACAACTAGTCCCTAATAACTAAGAAAGAAAATATCAAGGAATGGATATTAAGGCATGGCAACATGGTTAAAGCAATAGCTTAGACAAGAAGTTCAAACCAAAACATGGCTCATGGTTGCAAGAAGCTTCAACAAACATCATACTCAAAACAAAGATCAAACACTAATCATTCACCAATCAAAATCATTATCAAAAGGATTCATCTATTCATAACAAAACAAATGAACAAGTGATTATGAAATTAAGCATTTAGACATGGAGAGGAAGTAGCTTAGGCAAGACATTCACATCAATCATGAATCACAAACATCAAGAAGTTTCATCAAACATCATGCTCAAATACTAGGTCAAACATCATCTCAAGGGATCATTAAACGATTCATTAATTCAAGGCATTCAAATAAACAAAAAAAATGTGAAATCAAGGCTCTAACTCAGGGCAAGATACTCAAGAACATGTGAGAAGAAACCCCTAATAGGTTGCACAAGTGAATTCCCCAAAATCTTTCATCAACACAAGAAAATATTTCCACAAAAGGCATGAATCGAGGCTCTCAAATATCTCTTAGAACAAGCATCAATTCTCCACAAATATACACCAAGATATCATGTAAACCATAAGCAT